GTTACTTACTTTCAATTGACGGTGTTTCTTCTACAGAGATAGAAGAATTCGACAGTTGTGATGATTCTTTAGGATATATCGAAAGTGATAATTGTGCTCCTTTGTTTGGAATTGGTATAGAGTCGATGGACCCAAAAGTGACCATTGTCACATTTACAGCAGTCATTTCTTCGCCAGAATCGAACTTAATTTTTTTCTCGTTCAATAAACAAAGAATCTCTTCCTTCAAGATAAAACATCTTTCAAGGGGATGACTAATAATTTGATGATATTTACAATACTTTGGATTATCAATCATTCCTGATTCTTCTGGTCGCTTGAGTGTTGGAAGCTCGATAAGCTTTAACTCGAGTAGCTGATCAAAAATATCTGACACTTCATCAATGAAGGGATATTTCTTCTCTTCAAGTTCTTTCAAACTTGATCTTGTCTTCTTTTGAGTCTGATCTTGATTAAATTTGACTTAGAAGTCTATCTTTGACTTTTTATCAAAAATCTTCACTTGTGTAGTGGAGATTGCCAAAGACTCTTTCGATTTGTAGGCTTTCACATCTTTCTTCACGTCTTTCTTTACATCTTTCCTTTTACGAAGGTCACTGAAAAAGTAACTTCCGTGCCTAGAAATTTGAATCTTCAAGTAATGGGCTCGTGTTGCAAGTTCTTTAAACGTATGGGACATGTTTCCTTAGAGACTGTAGAGTAGTCCCCAATGCATCTCTTGGACACATATCAATCGAAAATGTTTCACTAATGCGTTCCTTGCAATTGAGAACAAAACTCATCTAGCGTTCAACGTAATCAATAATAGGTTCGTCTTTTCTTTGCTTTGTTCCTACAAGTTCAAGAAGACTTACCGTTCGTCGGGTGCTATAGAATCGAGTGAGGAATTCCAATTCAAGGTGGTCCTAGTTGTTGATAGTCCCAGCTGTTAGATCAGTGTACCAATCAAATGCAGCCCCTCGGAGGGAACAAAAAAATTGTTTTACCATCAGGTCGTCGTAGGTACCAGCATTATTGCATGTTTCAATGAAATGTGCAACATGCTGTTTCGGGTTGTCTTTCTCATCAAACTGTTGAAACTTCGGGGGTTGGTAGCCTATTGACATTTGTATCTCGTCAATTCGTCTGGTATATGGCTTCGCATATACCAACAAAGACAAGGGAACTCCTCCATACTGGGCTCGAATGGTATCAGCAATCATATGTTAAAGTTGTTGGACAGAGAGTGCGGCAACAGACATTTGTGAAGAATCTCACATGGCATTTTGTGCCACGACTTGATCATATTACTCTTGTTTTTGCTGTTGTTCTAAAAACTTTGGATTTTCTGGCATTTTAGTACCAAACGGGCTTGGAGTTTCTTTACTGCTTCCTTTTGAAGGTTCTTGCAATTCAAGTCGGTTTATGAGTGTGATGATTTGCATTTCTTTACCTTCAAGGGCCTTGGTCAACCTCTCGACCGTAGCAGTGAGTTGTTAAAGATGTTCTTCAGATGAAGTAGCTTCCATCACCATCACAGGCATAGGCGTGTTAGAGGCCAAGAAATCTCACCCCACTTCTGCTGAGGAGAAATCTCGGAGTAAGATTCAGTCCGCGAGTCTGTGCTGGAGTGTGTGTCAGGCAAAGAATCGTTCGTCTCTTCGTCCAAATCGATAGAAGAATTGGCAGGTTGTCCCTTTCTTGTTGGAAGAGTCTTCTTTTTGCTTTGCCTAGATCGATGTTCCATCGGTAACAAAAGTTGAGATTTGCCCGCCTTTGTTCTGGCACGGGTCGTTGGAATTGACTCCTCGACCAGGTCTGCTAACTTGTCAGTGGGAGGAAACACGATATCTTTGGTTGTCATTGTTGTCAAGCTTGTTGGATTTTTGACTTAAGAGATGAGAGGAAGAGAGTGTCCCACTGGGCGTGCCAAATTTTGTGACAAATTTCGTAAATAAATTAACACAAAATAAGGTCAAATTACAATAGTCAATTTGATTGACTTTAAGTAAAAAAATGTAGTGTTGACTCTTTTCGGCGTGCTTCTCACACGCACTGTCCTCTCATTCTCAATGAATTTGGTGAAGATGATGAATTTGGTAAAGATGAGGGCCTGAATGACGTATTTCTTGCTATTCAATCAGGGGCTTTAATGAATACGAGAGGTGGGTCAACGTATGCCCCACTCTTCAATTCGATGATGCTCACCTTTCTTCATTTGGTATGGCTTAAAGATGATTTGAATTTCTTGAAGGACCCTGGCGGTGTATTCTTCTTCCCCTAGATGAACTTGTAAGGCTTTAACGCTTTACTAAAATTCAAGTAAAGCTTCTCTGATCTTCCTTCCTCCTTGATTTCTTCTCCCTTTTTCTCCCTCCTTGACCCTCCCCTAGACCTCTATTTATAGTGTTAGGAGTAGTTATCCATATAAAAATGATAGTTATCCATATAAGAGTGATAGTTATCCATATAAGAGTCCTTATTACTCTTATATGGGCTTTAGGTAATAGACTACCCATAAATTTGTAAACTTTAATTAATTTATGAAATTTAAGTTCAACCTAGTTTACCTTGTAAAAGTTTATTTAATTTGGACCTATGGAATTTAAATCTATTTTAATTTAATTTAACAAGCCTGATTAATTACATTTTGGCTTGTATTATTTAGACTATGGAATTTAGGTCCAGTTTAATTTAATTTAACAAGTCTTGTTAATTAAATTTAGACTTGTGTTATTTAGGTTATGAAATTTAGGTCCAACTTAATTTTATTTATCTAATTGATTTGAGTTTAATTATAGACATTAATTTATTAATTAAATTTTTAATGTCTACAAGCATGATAGAAAAAAAAGACTAAACATGACATGAACTCGCGAATCACAGTTTACTCAAGCCATCGTGGATTATAAAATGAGCATATTTTGACAAGTCAAGAATCCGACACATCCCTTTGTGAACCATAACACTCCCCCCTGTCGCTCTCCACTCACGCAAAATCCTTCATGGTTTTCTAGTTTATAGCATCTAGAATTCGCATTAAATAATTTACAAATTTTCATGTACCAGACTGCCGAAAAAAAATTATTATCGATAAATTTTATTTTCTTGTATTCGTACTAAATCGTACAGAATGCACTTTGATCTCCTTAATCCTAATTGCTACCATACTACATTCTATGAACATCTTCATTTCCCAACATCAATGTTCAAATTGAATCTCTTTTGTTCTTACCCCTAACCAGATGCTCAAAAGTTCAAATTGAATCTAAATCCTGTGTAAAAGAACCCTTCTACACTAAACTAAGAAGTAACAAGTACCAGAATTTACAAAATTCACTTATGTAACTATGAAGGATTAACGTAGATAGTTCTACTATTTTGATTTTTTCACCGATTTGCACTAACTTTTAAACTCTTTTACCAAAGTACTGTAAATTTCAAACTTATGACACACAACTTTGCCCTAAAAGTGTGTTTCTCAAACACATTTTCAATGCTAAGATGCTTCTGAATCTCAAACAGGAAGGCATAGTTTGTACCTTACAAATGACCCCGCCAAACTTCAATCACCAATCAGCCTCTTCTATGGAAACATGGTCAGAAATTGAGTACTACTTATCAAATGCAAGGGTTCATCAAACATCAAAGCAATCAGCAGTCAGCATTAACATAATCAAGCAACTATATAGGAAAAGTGAATAAGAAAAAAGGACAAGGCTATGGTACCAAGAAAGAATAACTCTTTTGGCGGGGGTGTTTGAGTTAACGTATTTGAGTAAATTTAATTGATTAAAAAAGCAGAGAAAAATTCAAAATTTTCTAAACGGTCACGTTTGAGTCAAAATACAAGTTAGACAAAAGATTTTCCTTAAAAAATCGTGCACTAAACAAATCTCTTCCAACACCAAACCTTGAACACTGTCCCATGTTTTGCTGTTCTACCACTTGAATATTCTCACACCCCTTTATACTTCCTAATGTACACCATTCAAGTAGAGCTACGAATTATTGGAGCAAAAGAAATCATGCATATTTACAAAAACCAACAATTAATGATTCAACATTATGGTTTGATGCTCACCAATTAAAATCAGCCTTTCACTTTTGGTTACAAATATGACAGGGTTGCTAGTGACAATTTATGTACATAAGAGCATCTCCAGCACCCAATTCTATGTTTTAAAATCGAAATGATTAAACATCCACTGTTGCAAAGAAGAGAACCAACACAGTGAAACACAAGACTTGCTACCAAGCTCAAACAAGCTAAATGCAGCATCAAAGAAAGAGATACAGAAAAAAGGCTACATACTCCAAGCTGGATAGGAGTGTTTGATTAGATAAACAGGCTCGCCACAGAAACATTGTTTTAAATGATTTTACAACTAAAACTTGCAGTCTTCTTTCTGCAAGCCCATTATCCTCACCATGAGAACTAACACACTTTGGCACTACAAGTGTTCTAATAACCCCGTTTAGCCAAACAGAGTAGTGTTTTACAATATCCCCTCCCCCGCCCCCCCCAAAAAAAAAAAAAGCAAAGAAGAAAGTAAAGAACTACCAATATTTTACATCACTGCTACACAATCGGGGAAAGAGAGAGTTTCATCATTCATTTTTTTTTTTTTTCTTGGAAGAGAGTTTCATCATTCATGAAAGGAAAGGTGAATTTTATCTCTAGCTCAGAACTCCAGAGGAGGCATACGACCCCAACTATGATAAAAGTTAGCAACATTACTATTCACAAAGAACCAATGCCTCCATGTATCCACACAAACACTACCTTTCAGCGGAAAAGCAGATAATTACACAACAAAGTAGTCACACGAGAATTGACATGATGTGTTTACTTGTACATCTCTCATAGGAAACAACAAACAGTGGTTTATAGTTTCCATTGTGCCGGCATCAAAGTAGACATAAATGTTCTATTGTATTATTTAGTATCAATTATCTCCATTGTATTGAAACTAGTCCCCCAACAAGATTGTACTACTAAATTTAAACAAATTAGACACTAGTTAAATTAAGAAAGCTAGCCGGGAAAAAGTGCCCCAACAAAGATCCATACAACATTTGCTAAATTCAACTGGATACACAGACTATTTCCTTATAATTCACAAGAATTTATGGTCCAGAATGTACTGGAGACGATACAAAAGTGACCAATCCTGCTATCCCAACAAAATTATATAACATTTTCAACAAACATGCTTGAATTCAATTACTCCAATGTAATAAAAGACTGTGAAAGCTAGCAAAAATATTTAACTTCCCAGTCGAATTCCGAAAATGGATCAAAATTCAGTCAAGGAAACCTGTTTGGCGCCAAACGGCATTGCGAACTTGACGAAGATCTCTGCCTTTCAATGTCCTGCCAACGCCTTCCAGCACCGAAAACGTTGTCTTTGGGGATTGCGCCGATCCTCTGGCGACGATCTCGTGCGGTGGCAGCATCTCATCGTCGTCCACGTCATCATCCACGTTAGTCAGCTCACTTTTTGGGACTTTCCTCGGCATCGCCGGAACATTCACCGGCGCCGATTGTTGGAATTTTCGACCGGGCACGGACTGGTAACACTCGGGCGGAGGTTTCGGAATAGAGGGAATTGTACGCGAGGACGACGTCGTTGTGGAAAATGAAGGAGAAATTGAATGCTTTGGAAAAGAGTCAAACGACGTCGTTGAGGATGAAATCGAAGGTGTCACAAGCGATGTCGCAGAGGAAGGCGATGAAATCAAAGGCTTTCGATAGATGACCGGACGGTTCATTGTACTGTGATCTTCAGGCAATGCGGCGAGGATGCCGAAGTTGTCCGTCTGCTGGAAAGGCATGCGATGATGGCTTTGGTTGCCGGCGATGGTCGCGGGGGACTTGGACCGTTGGTTTGACTCAGAGAAGTGGCCGGTCCAGAAGACATCATCTTCGTTGAGCTCGTCGCCAGCGATGGTTATGGCGGTGTCGGAGTTTGGTGGAGAGAAGACGTTGAGGAATCGGTCGGAAGAGGAGGAAGACGGAGATCGACGGTGCCGGAAATGAACGACGCCGTTTGGATCCATGGCTCGCTTCTATAGATACACTAACAATCTTTGCTTGTAATGGTTGATGATCATGAGAGAGACAGAGAGAGAGCGAGCGAGCGAGAAAAGAAAAGAAATAAGAGACGGCGAGAGGGGAGAAATTTGCTGAAGTAGGCTTGGTAGGCCTTCTAGAAGGAGTATGGGACAGAGAGTGAGGATGAGGCGGAAGGATATTACGTGTCTAAGGTTTAAATTCTGAAAACATCACAACCGCTTAAAATAAAGGAGCCCACATAATTTCGTGGGGCCCATGTATCAAAATTGATTTCGAGTGGTCCCAGATTTATGAACATTTTCAGTGGGACTATTGTGATGTAGAGGATTCTTCTTGCCAAAAGGCTTAGGAGGTGGTGGGTGGGTTGTGACGTGGCGACGGTTCGCCGCGAGTAGAACCCAGGAGAGAATTACGGGCTGAGATAATTGAGAGTTATAAAGTGGGCCCTACTGGACCCTACAGTCCATTATGAAGGCGCTATCTTCTCATAATATTTTACTCAAACAAATTCAGTTTGAGTAATTACTAATTATATGTTTATCAAGTTATTTATTATTATTAATTTTTTATGACGTGGCATCTTTACTAATAAGATAGGACTCATTTTGAATCTTTTTCTACTTTAAAATTTAATTTATTTGAAAAAGCATAAGAACGGCTCAGATTAAATCCACTTTTAATTCAAAGGCCCACATTTTCATCTCATTTCTTCCATTTCAATCCAATGGCTTGCAATACATCTCAACCCAAAAAAAAAATCCCGCCATTTTGATCCACACGCCTACAGTTACTCAAATCAAACCCATTCCCCTACACACCCAAATCAAACCCACCCCTACAGCTACTCTCTGTCTCCCGCCATGCCTCACCCATTTCCCTACATACCCATTTCCTCTGCCATGCCTCACCCCAGACAGCAACCCAGACCCCTTACCCCTCTACCCACACCCTTCTCACAACGGCTTAGCAGCAGCGACACCGGCTCAGCAGCGGCACACAGTGGCGATCAACACAGCAGCGACACCAACGGCGTTCAACACAGCGGCACACACTCACCAAGCTCAGCCCAGGTACCTCCCTCTCCCCCTTTCACGACCCACAGCAAATTAAACATACCCACCTCTCTCTCTAGCTGAAGTCGAAAATGATCATTTCTGCTAAAAGATTGGAAAACAAAATCAATATTTAGTCCCCATCAATAACCATTTTGATTGCAGAAAGCTACAGAAACCGAATTGAGTTTTTGCATTTTCTAGAAAGGAGAAAAGAGGCATCCAGTATAGGAAAGACCTTGATTTCTAAACTTCAAAAATCACTTAAGCTAATTAGATTGAATATAAGCTAATTCAACACATTATAAGCTAAATCAAACAAAGTGTAAATCAATTAAAATTCAACACATTATACCCAAAAAAAAATAGGTACACAGGAAATTACACAAAATTTCTCTCGGTCATTCCAACAAACAATTGGTGTGGGTGGGTCTGTTTGTGATGTGTGTGTGGGTGAGTGGGTGAGTGGGTGTGGGTGTTTGTTTCTGGGTGAGTGGGTGTGAGTGTGTGTGATGTGGGTGCGTGTATACTGGGTCTGTGTTGGGTGTGTGTGCTGGGTTTGTTTGTGTGTGTGCGATTTGTGTGTGGGTGGTGAGTATGTATGTGTGTATTGTGCGCTGTGGGTGTGCGTGTGCAATGTGATTGTGTGTGAGCGAGAGAAGTGTTGGGTGATGTTGAGTAGAAGAGGGCAGAGAAGATATGGGGGTAGGATGGGGGTTAGTGTGTGCTTGTGTGTGTGTGTGAGAAAGAGAGAGAGACTATTGCGTTATTACTATGCAGGTGTTGCTAGGCATGGGGGTTAGATTCTTGCTATG